GGAGCTCTGGAGCTGTTCAGGTCCAGCAGCGACGGCTGCAGTGGCAGCTGCCCTCTGCAGGCACAGGAAAGGGGGAGCGGGGCCCTGCCCGGCCCCCGCAGCGATGATGACACTGCCCTTGGATGGCTTTCAACACTGAACGCATCCGACGGCCCCGCAGGATGCGGGGACTTGTTCCACAGCGCTCACAGCAACCACTGCGTGCCCAGCAGCTCGTGGAAAACAGGGAGCTGGGGGTCCGGACCACCCCCTCCATCCAGCACAACCACCTGCCCCGGGGGACTCGGCCCCTTCCCCCAGGTTTCAGGAGGGCAGCAGGAATATACTGCACTTCACCTTTTTGGGTACAACCCCAAGACTTTCCCAAAATTACACTAATACAGGTAAATCCCATTGGAATTCGTGTAACAGAGACTTTGGCAGACTCCCTGCTCCATGTTAAATGCATCTATTGATCTTCTGCAAGATCACAGCTCAGAACGTGATTTAACAAAACCTTCCTTCACAACACTAGGGAACCACATCGACACAGAAATCAGGAGACATTGGAACAGGGCATTTCTCTTACAGAACACAATTTATTTGGCATTTGGATGAAATGTTTCTCACAGCATCTTGAAAAAAAAAGAAGAAAAAAAAAAAAGATAGATTAGTGCCAACCCCAAAGAAGTTAAAACAAAAAAAAGTGTCACAGGGACTCAATTATTATAGTATCAAATTTAAATTCTACATGGTATTTCACAGAATATCAAAATCTTTTATACACTGCCACAGTTAAGTCCAGTCACAAACCAACTACCCAGGAGAAGCCTGCAAGTGCAGTGCTGGCTAAAACGATTTTCCAGAGGAAGGTAAAAAGCAGAGTCTCGTTCTCTCGCAGCCTCCCAGGCACCCTCAGCCCAACACGCAGGGTGTGGCACAGCAAGGCCCCCTCCGCTGACATCGACTCCGACCCACTCAGCACTCAAGGTGCACATACCGAAAAATTAAAGCTATGTGGTACCGTAGCAGGCAGGTAACACTGACTGTTGTCAGGGGAAGTGCATCTTCATGACCGAAAGCACCTATTCCAAAGAAACGCTTATTTCATTTGGGAGGGGGGAACACTGGAAGTAAACGTATCTACCTTGATTCACCTCTTACACTCAACTGCTGTAATTTTAGGGTTCAGCTCCCAACTTTAAAGGGAAATTAAAAAGAAATTTCTGTCCATGTTCCTTAGCTAGGGAGAAAAAAAGGCATTTCAGCAACTGAAAAAAAGAGATGCGTGTTAGAGATTGTACGAGGCAATATTAAAATGTCAGTGCTTTGCCATTGAGAAGTCACATCTGAAAGAAAAACATCTTCAAAAACAGCTTCAAATTTGTTTAACATGAGATGGGAAAAGAATGGTAATAATTACTGGCCACAAAAACCCACTTTCTTCCCAAGTGAAACTTGGGAGACATGTGAACAGGTCATCACTCCACAACCCCTGTGGAGGCAAAGTATCGCCCCACTACAAGATTCAGCCTTCGGAAAAAAATGTCCACCTACTTCATTCTTCTTCTAGATCAGCATCCTGCTGTGCATGGATAAAGGAACAGTCTGAGGCTCAAACTAAACAGCACTGAACATCACACAGATAAGTTTTTTCGCACATTGGAATGACAGTGTTGATCTAGCACAGAACAGGACCCTCCGCCCCTCTAACATTTAAACCCTACAACTCACCTAGTACAGAATCAGGGGCTGCTGTGACACTGTGTACAGGGCATTCCCTGACAAACCAGAGTGTCAGGGGCTGCTCTTAAGGAACAGCAGAGACCTCGTATGGCACCACAGTACATCAAAAGGAGGGGGGAATCTGAATCTGAGGAGCAGCTTTGTCCGAGGCCACGATGGGAGGTGTGAGCCCTGCACGGAGCCGAGTGCTGGGACTTCACAACCACTACGGTCAAGGACATCCCGAGATAAACACACTCCTGGCTCACACACTCTGCTGGGAACCATGTGGCAATGCCATCTCCCTGCTGCGTCTTGAGGGATGTTTAGGATGCATCAGCAGTTTAGAAAAACATCCAGAGATACGAACAGAGGCGGGGGG